CGAATTATCTAAACTTTTTCGGTTTCCATTTCTTGAGATGTCTTTTCACTTCTCGGTCAATGGAGTTTGAAACACGGATCCGTTTCCGTTTAAACCAAATCTACGGTTTAAAACCCCTCGCGTATCGTTGTCGCGGATTCGACGCACAATTTTCCAGGATTCAGGACTAAAGAAATAAAAAAGTTGAGCCAACCGGTGTACAAACTATGTTAAGAGCATGAAAAGTGGTGGATATTCCCGCCACAAGAGTAGATCTCCGTAATTCAAGCATTTTTGTTTTTGTGCATCTGTTTTCTTCCGTTTTTGTCCAGCTATAAAATCTTGTCATTTCTTGCTATCGTTCGGTTGTCTGCCCAGTTTACTCAATTTCTATGCATGACCCCAAAAAAAGGGGGAGGGGAGAGGCGGAGATAAACTCAGTACATGTACCAAGATTTTACCTTTCGTTGCATAACGCTTTAAATACCCTCCCGGTGGGGTATGCAACAACGTTTTATACGGGGAGGCTCCAAACCCTTACCCTTGTATATACTATTTCTGGCAAAAAAGGTACCCCTTTTGTATACCTTTTATTGACAAATGCTACCCCTTTTACGTACCTAGTTTAGACCTTTGCATCCCTTTAAATTGCCGTAAATGAACTGTATTTACTATATAGATACAGTTGAACCTCTCCTCAATGGCCTGGTCGTTGTAGACAGATGGAAGTTGTGAAGAGGTGGCCGTTAGCGGAGGTTGGACTGTAAATTACAAATCTAGAATGTTTTCTCGACTTTTTTTACAGCCATAAAATGCGCGACTGCCTGTTAGCCCTTTTGGAGCTTTTTACAAACTGAAATGACAGATTTCCCTATCCTTTCATATACTTCAACTTCCGAATTCCATACCCTTTTATATAGCAATGATATATCTGAAGCCTGAAAAAGGTACCTCTTTCGGGCGGAGCCTCCCCGTATAGCCCATTATAGGGAGTACCAACCTCCCTTCCCCACCCCCACAGTATACTCTTCAATGAAGACTGACCAAGTCCTATTTTTAAACTTTAGAATCCTCAGATACTGAGCTTGAAGACAACGAAAGTGTGCAAGAAGGAGTTTACTACCTCCTGAAAGAACTAGCCTTCATTATCTCCAGCAAAGAGATGTTCAGAACCGAAAGCGTGGCAGTTATTTATCATCGCAGCTGGCCTGTCTATGAGAAATTTGTAAACGGAGATTATGATGGAAAGCCAAAAGAAGGATTGGGACTTGCAGTCATCAACTATGATCTGTAATAATATAATAAATATTATAATGGACATTGTATGACTTTCTTACAAAGAAGGCTTTTAACTGGTCAGTAGCACACTCGGACTGGACCAGTAAGCCATAAGCATGCGCGCAATCATGGTCCTTTTCGGGGCAAATCTCTTGTGAGAAAGCATTAATTCCATAGCAATTTCACGCAATCATAATAATAATAATAATAATATTAATAATAATAATAATATAATGCTGGGATCTGCACGAATCCTTAGAAAGGTGCTCAGTGTATGAACAGAATGATTGACTTGAGTGACTGACGCTCTAGGCGCATGGTTTGCGCCCGGCTGATGCACAAAATGAAAACCAGCAAAGACTGTGAAAATAGAGACAATAATAATAATAAATTATGTACATAATTTACAGAAATATTTGAAGTAAGAATTAAGCACTATGTAACATTAACAATTATTATATAAATCATAAAAATAGCAATCACTTTGTCAATAACGATTTCACAAATACATTCCTTGCAGCTCAGATGCAGTCAAAAAAGTTTTAAATCAAGTCATTACTAAAGAGAATTATCCATCTCTGATATTAAAAATTAATAATAATAATAATATTTATTTATTTATAATTATATCAGTGGGAATCAGTTATTCTGTATTCAAACTGTAAAATTATTTTCTGGATTTTGAGAAAGATTTCTATTAAAGTAAGTATTTGCTGGCTGTATAGTTTCAATGTAGTCATTACTAAATTCTTAAGCACAGAGGACATCACCACCACTTTCAAATCTTAATATGCTTTTATGTACCCAGCATTCCGGGCGTTTTCTCTTCGTGTGTGATTGTTTTTGTTTGTGTAACCACAATGCTGAATTCTAAAATAGTCGAGGCAGTGGGGTGACTCATAAGGGGCAGGGGAGGTGTTGGGAAGAGAGAAATATTTTTTTTCGTCCCTCCCCATCTCCCATCCCCTTTTTCTGCCCTACACCTACTCCAAGTGTTGTAATTCGTATACTCTTGCCAATCTACCTGAGTGATGAAATCAAAGATCGTGTGCAGCCATGGCAACTTTTGCTTGCCCCAAAATATCCCTACATTATAGGCTGTAGCTTTTACATAGCCTGCGTAGCAAGGCAGTTTTGGTCAGGCCCGCAAACAAACCAAGGTGGGGTAGGGCAGTAAAACTGTGAGGAGATTGGACTTCACTGCTCAGTGGTGCACCCTACAAAACTGCCATGCTACACAGGCTGGCTTTTACAATTCAGTCCAAGAGGATTTAATTTTCTTGTTCACTAGTCTTTTGAACATGCCCATTCCCTATCCTTTTCCCTATCCTTTCATCTTTTCGTGCAGTTCATTATGAAACTTCAAATATTCACTGTTATAATGTTACTAAGAATCTTTTTGGCTGTTTGTCCCCAGTTTGCAAAGTTGTTTGTTTCCAAGTTGGGCTGGCATTTGCCATTAATTACAACCTGCCCAGGGTTTTGGGTTTTCCACCAACTGGGATCTTGGCGAGTGGGCCAGCCTACCCGCCTTTTCATAAAAACACAACAACAATTTTATAAGGAAGCAAAATTTAATGCACAAGCCAAGCCAGCCTGGCTTAGTAACCGGGCTGGCTCGCCTCATATAAGTTGCCAGTATTGCAAACATTTTCTAGGGAATTGTGGGCATATTGGCTAAATAAATTCGGTTTTTAACAATTATTCATCGAACCCGAATGGGCTCTGATTCAATAGTCCATGAGGCCAAAGGCCGAATGGGCTATTGACTTAGAGGCCATGAGGGCGAGAGGAATAATATTGGTTTAGTAAAATCCAACTAGTTGGTCAAAAATATCGAGACAAAACAACTTTAGCTAGCAAAACGTGATTCAGCTGCCATTGTTTTGATTTTCAAAGCCGGCGCTTTTCACTACTAGTGGGCTATAACATATAGCCTAGTAGTAGCTCAACCAATCAGAATGCAGCATTGATAATAGACCACTAGTTGGATTTTACTAATGGTATATTCTCATCAGCTCCTAAACTGAAAAATTCCTCTCAGTTATTGCTAACCCTGGCCATCAAGGGCACCTGAAGAAGCTACCCAAGTGAGAGCCGATCCATACCAATTAGCTGATTTTAAGGACTTTTAATAGATGTAGTCATACTACAGACTTTTTACCTAGGCAAACTCGACTTGTTGACAGTTTACCTAGGACAACTTGATTTTTTAAGTGTGACTGATTTTCCCCTAGGTAACTTACCTCGGGAAAATTTTATCGTCTGGGTTTTGGATATGTCTCAAGAACAATCGAGTTTCCATTGACAGCTACCCCAAAGCAATAGCTTGGGAAAAATAAAATACCCAGGTTGCTAGCCAATAGACGCTCATCGGCAAAGGCCTTGATGACAGAACCAGACATAGCTCACGCTGTGAAAGAAATTTTGAGAGCACGAGTCGTCTACGTCTTCGCCTTTCTTCACCTTGGACGTTGAATTATTGTAAGAAATAACAGCAAGATAAAAGAAAAAGACCTCTCTTTGATCAGCTAGATCCCTGCGCATCTTGCCTTCTTGAATTTACGCTCCAAAAAATTCAGCTGGTGTGAAAACCTTGGGAGCCGATATCAGTAGTGTGACCTTCCCAGAAT